GCTTTTTTTTTGGAGAAACCACCCACTCTGTTTGTACTCTGTTTTGTTCTGTTTTCATTACTGACATTTAAGCATGTTAAGATTCACAGGTTCAAAGATGTTTTCTTTTGAGACCTTGATCTTCAGCAAACTAAACTAGAGTTGTTTATGTCATAAAACAGAAACTCTAAAACACACAGATTTGTAGAAAACAGAGTGAAGAAAGTTTAAAGAAGAAATTTGAGTAAAAGAAGTCATAGGTGGTGAAGCTTCTGATGTTTTCTGTTGAGATAAAAAGTTGGAAATGTAACATCCCGGTTAGTGAAATTGGCATGGCATGGTTGTTGAACTAGCAAGAATAAAGAAATGGCAGTTAGAGAGAGAAAAGATGATGAAAGAGTATAAATAGAAGTTTCACCTTTCTTGTTGTTCATCGGTTGTTAGACTTTATCAATAGATCTGTTGAGTTCATCTCTTCAAGAAGGCAGATTCAGAGAGCTTGTTCTCTGGATTTTATGGCTCAAAGCATCGTTTGATGACTTGAGATTGTAAACAGTTTGATAAGCAATAAAAAGAGTATTTAAACGCTTATCAATTGATGCGGTGAGCGGTTCGAGCTTGACGGCGACATCAATGGCATATCGGAGCTTGTCAATGACGGCGACAATGGAGGTGTTTAGAAGAGTTTCACCAAAATCACAAGATTCAGTGATGTATGTCACATGCCTTTGTGACAAGTAGAGTACAATGACAATGAGTTTTGTGGAGCTTTCGATCTTCAGCAATGGTGACCCGAAACCATGAATCACATAGATGGAAGATATATTTGTACGCGATGATCACTCGGAGATGAGTAAATTGGTGTTGGTGTTGGCGTTGGCGTATAGATTACTTACAGAGGAAGCAAAAGCTTGCTTCAACAAGAGACGTGCTTGGAATCCCTTCGATTAGTGGAAAGAGTTGAGGAGTGGTTTGTTGTTACAGTTTGGTGACAGGCCCGACAAAATTAGAATACGTGACGAGAATGCTCGTGAACTGAAATAATGGATTGAAGAGGCTTTATGAAGAAGCGGTTGCTGAATTTAAATTGATCGCAAAAAACATGGTTATGGAGAAACAAACAATCGAAACAGAGTCGAGGATGCAGAGGAACAGATCTCCAAATTGCATAATCTAGTTCATAGCAATGTCAAAATCAGGAAGTAGAGATACATTTGCTTGATGGAATGAATCCTTATGGCTGGATCGCATAAGCAGAGAGATATTTTTGAATGACTTATTATAATCCAGTAGCATGGATTGGTCTAGTTTCGAAAAGTCTGAAGGATGATGCACTCAACTGATTCAATTGCAAAAGTGAGTAGAAACCTTTCCAGATTTTGCTAGAATAATAGTGATTTTGCTACATATGTCACCAAATCTCATTTATCTTTTCAATTCACACATCTGTTTTAAATACCAAAATTAAGCGTGTTTTAACTAAAATAATGTAAAGCTAAGTGATCTACTGGGAAATCATTTGTAGTATAATGTGAATGAGGTCAAAGCATGAAGACTGTCATGTGGTGATTGCAGGGTCAGTAAACAATGTTTTTGAACCTCCAGAAAATTAACACAACGTCCATTCACAGACCAAGTGAGCAGATGTGGGAAAACGAATAATTGTGGACGGTTGAAGCGTTACAAACTAATATATTAAAAGGAGAGTACAAAAAGAAAATACCCCTTAATTTTCTTAAAGAATTACAAAAGATTGCCACTAACCTAAACCAATACTAACACTAAAACCAAACCACCTAAATTCAATTGTTTTATTTAACCAATTAATTTTCCTCAAATATTACAAAACATGCCACTGATATCAACGTATTTCTATTACCGTAAATTAATTAAAAATGCCTTTCGGAAATAGTTTCCATATCCTGCGCAACCCATTATAACAAACAGTTAAAACTGATTAGTATTTATTTTCAAAAGATAAGATTTAGTTAAAAAATTTAAACAAAGGAATATTTTAGATTGTGTGTTACTATTATATCATATCGACGTGGATTTAGTATAATAGATTATTATAGAGTCCACCATAAAGTTATATATAATTCAATAGAGATGAACATATTTTCATTTAATACAGCTTAATATATAACTTATTACATGCAGTAATTATTTAGAAGAAAATATCTGTAATAAATGTTTAAATTTTTTATGCTAACTACGCATTCAATATCAATTTATTTATTATAAAAATAAAATACTTTTGCAAGAAAACACGGATCATATTATAAAAATGTGCTAATAACAATTTACAATTCAAAATAAGATTAAATTATTCACTATAAACAATCAAATTATTATGTTTATAAATTTTATATTAAACAATTATTTAATATGGATAAATTTTAAAATATATCCAACCAATTATAGAAAAAATGTTTATTTATAAACAAATTAAAAAAAAACATTCGTGCGGATGTAACGTTTTATTACTTTTGTTACTTTTTTAAAAATAACTAGGGTTTTAAAAGTCTAGCTTTTATTAGATCTAATAAACTTCGGCCGTATTCAGTAAAAGTGTAAGTCACTGACTCAATGTCTACTTAGCTTATAAAGGAGCGGGGCTAATCTTAATCTATTAAAAGGGAGATACATTTTGTACTTAGCTATGAATTTTCCACAAAAATTACATCTTTATGCCACTTCTTTTAAAACACAAAGTTTTGATTTAAATTTGCACCAACACCATCAATTCTTCTAATTAATAAACCAACACACGGTTTTGAGTTAAATTTCTAAACCATCAAAAATAAGATTAAATTACTCATATTATAAACAATCAAATTATTATGTTTAGAAATTTTATAAAAATGTGCTAATAACAAATTACGGTTCAAAAATAAGATTAAATTACTCATTATAAACAATCAAATTATTATGTTTAGAAATTTTATATTAAACAATTATTTAATATGGATAAATTTTAAAATATATACTACCAATTATAGAAAAATGTTTATTTATAAACAAATTAAAAACAAACATTCGTGCGGACGTGACGTTTTATTGCTTTTTAAAAATAACTAGGGTTTTAAATTTCTAGCTATTATTAAGCCTAATAAAACTCGGTCATATTCAATAAAAGTGTAAGTCACTGATTCAATGTCTACTTGGCTTATAAAGGAGCGGGGCTAATCTCCTTCTATTAAAAGAGAGGTACATTTTGTATTTAGCCATGAATTTTCCACAAAAATTACATCCTTATGCTACTTCTTTTAAACACAAAGTTTTGATTTAAATTTGTACTAACACCATCGATTCTTCTAATTAATAAACCAACACACGGTTTTGATTTAAATTTCTAAACCATCAATTCTCTTAATTATTAAACCATCGGTAAACCTTTTTATTCTCTAATAATTAAACCATCACTAAACCAGTTCTTATCTTATTGATAAATCATCAGTAAACCACTTATTATTATTAATAAACCAACACTAAATCACTTAATCATTAGTTCCCTACATATTGTACTTTCTAATCTCTAAAACACAATGTGTTATCATATTACTAAACCATTCAGTTAGAAACCATTACTAAACCAAAAACCGTTTGAAATATGTGATATTACCTTCATTCCTCTTCGTCTACCTCAAATTCCCAGGATGTAACACTTCCGGTTTTCAATATTCTGTAAAATCAAAATCATCAAATTAGATATGTAGCTGTGGTAAATAAATCTTAACATTCTTTCAATCATATTTTATATCCTGATTTAGAAATTTACAATCAATACGAGTAAACCAACAGCATGTATTTGGTTCAAAATCATAACTTGAATATTTTTGAATTTCTTAAAATAAATGACCTCCCACAGTTAATTCCTATATTATAGCGAATCATAAAAAGTGAAACACACATCAATTAAAACGAAAATTAACTTGCCAAGAAATAAAGATCTATAATCGAAACAAACTCTTGAACATTAACATTTGCAACCGGATCTGGAACAGAGCTTCTACAAATCTTTCACCGAGTTGTAATTTGCACGAGGTTTCTACTTCATGATTAAAGGGGGATGGGATCTCTCTACCCGATAAATAGTCTTGGTTTTCAACACCTTAGATGATGTTTAAGAAAGTCATAACACGTAATATAGATTTCAGGTAACTCTTTAGTAAATAAAAAAATAAACCTAAATCGAGAATCTCGAATGTGGATGTAAAGATCACGACAGAAAACAGACGAACGTAACCAACAAATATCTTGAAAGATAAATAGTTCTTTCAGTTTGAATCGGAAAATACGGCCAAAGCAAATTTTTTCTGTTTGTTTCGCGGGAAAAAATTTTTTTTATGGGCTTTGATATTTGATGAATGTCCACTTTTTTATTTTAAAAATATGATGATCCAATTCTAAATGAACTGGTCCAATTTACTAATCGATGGACTTCCTAATTTTTTCACAAGAACTATGTCTTTTTTTTTGTTTTTAGGTACCTTTCCATAACTTTTTATTATTACGGTTTAAAATCCCTTATATATTAAAAAGAAGCATTATAATAAATGTGTTTACACCTTAATTGACACGTGTTGGCCTCACAATCATTTAAAAATTAATACGTTCATACACTAATTTTTTAAATTCATTATTTAAAAGTGTTTATACACAATTTTTGAATTAATTCATTTTTTCCTACATTTTTAGCATTTGTATTAATAAATTCAAATTTTCTACGTGAAACTAATGAATAATATCTTTGTTGTAAAAAAAAAAAAAATCATTCAGATTCGCATCAACTAAAATGTTGCGATGAAAATGTTTGTAGATATTGAAAGTTTCGTACCTTGCCGAAATTGGTCATGGTTGAGGCTTCGGTACACAATAACAACAAATACGGTGATTGATTATGAATTAAAGAAACT